TTCGATATTAACTTTTGTGGGGATTGAATGGGATATCTGTAACAAGCCTCGTTGGTTTGCCATCCGGATTAAGATTTCCTATTCTTAGAGTGGTCAGACCTTCATGAAGCAGTTCGGAGGGGAGAAACGGCATGCACTCAATCAATGCTTTTCTCAGACTGCTAGGCAAATGTATACTGACCCCTTAGCCAAAGAAGTCGTGGCAGCGCAGCTAGATGCTCGCTGCGGATCGGAAGGTCCTGGGTTCGCATAATTCTCAATTAGTCAACGGATCTTCACTACCACTCATTCCATATGTGCTCTGATCCCCTCCTTAGTAAATCCCTCCACGTGTAGTGGCTTATGACGCCAGCGTTGTGTTGTCACTGGCTTCCTGCATAGTTCTTTTTTGTCTGTAACAAGAAATGAAATAACGGACCGGCTTGCAGGTAACGTTCATGACGGACGACGGACGAGTGGTCGGTCAGACTGATATACCGATAGCTCTACGAGAAGCTGGACGTTTGTAAGAATCAAGTGATGACTGGCAACCAAAACCACACTGAAATGAAACAAAACAGTGAGAAGAAACGGATGAGTCCAAAAAAGAGCAGGATGCAGGAAGCCAAAGAAAAATAACTAGCTAGAACATCAGCCACTACCCACGATGAGGTTTACTAAAACGTGTACTATCCGGGCACTTACGGACGAAAGGTGAAGGTCGAGAGATGTGAACCAGCGTCATTGCGCACTGTTATAAACCAACCATAAGCGCTGTCCCACCAGTTGTTAGTTGCGTATCCTTTACAGGACGTTGCAGAACCAACCCCAGCAGACTCTGGCTGTTGTGTGGTTTCTCTAGGCAAATTTTCGTCCAGTAGTCTGCTATTGCTTACTGGACGGTCGGCCCCCCTGATACCACTGTCGAAACTAACGCAAGGCGCATGGCTCGCCGCTGGGATCGACCTCAGCACCCCAGCATTACGAAGCGTTCGCATCGACTTAGCCACAGAGCCGACCTGCCACCAGTACAGACAGCTAATAAGAAACTGTCCGCCTGTGTCGCCGTCCGCACGCAACTCCGTAACTACAGCGACTTTCCTCTATTTACCAAAAAATGTTAACTCTGGTTCCCATTTCATAGAGGCTGGGTGAATCCCGGGAAACCGCCCGGTTTCGAAAAGCGGCCCTGGGCTGCAGCTAGTCCCAGCTGGATTTGAAAGCGAGCCTCCTATCGACTACGCTAACGCGGCCCCCAAATCCAGATAACAGCAGGATGCAGGAAGCCAAAGAAGAATAACTAGCCAGTACAGAACTGATATCATCAGCCGCTACCCAAAATGAGGTTTACTAAAACGTGTATCTGGGGACTTACGAACTCACTGGTTCGAGGCAGTGAGGGTAATAGGTTGACAAAGTAAATAGCTTTTTTTTACGCGTAGAATTATTAGTTCTATAAACTGATAAATAAAAGTCCTCGTGTTGGTTCCGGAACCCAATTTAGATAAAACAAAAATAAACCCACTACCTTCCCAACAAGCATGTCGTTGTAGCTGACCATATGGGGGCATTTTTCGAAGTGCATCTGTCTGAGATGCAGGGATCCAACATGTTGCATACAACCCTCATATAGAAGAATACGGTGCGAAGGTGAATGAAAACCAGGACTTTCCATTGAAGTTGGCGGCCGGTGAAGAAGAAAAAGAAGACTGACTGACTTTTTATCCCACCAGGTCATCACACAAGCGATAAACACCCGGTGACATAAGGTGCCGCCGTGCGGATGAGGATCACCCGTTGAGAGATCCAGGAAACCGTGTTAACCCATTAGGCCATATCTGTGACCGGGCTATATTGCGGCCCCTGGCAAGAGCCAGGGTGGGGCTTCAAAATAACGAAAAATTGAATTCTACTGGGAGATGGCTATAAGAAGTGTAACTCCCGGAAACCCCGTTCAGCAAGAAGAAGAAGAAAAGGAAGAAGTATTGATAAAAGTAGCAACCATCAGGTTTTTTTTAATGTGCATCATTTTCACTAAATTGGCCTGAAAACACAACGTTACAACGGAAACTCTTCTTCAGTTTCTCTCACCAAATTTGGTTTTTAAGCCAGCCTAATGAATCTTCCACGAAAGTTCGCTCGAAACAAGCTCTCACATGTTTGTCCCCCTTGCACATTATCCTGCCATATTGTCCAATCGAAGCTGACTGGGGAATGGTTTTTTAATGTGCCTCCATTATTTCGGTTGTCGGCCCCTGGCCTTGTACAAAGATATGCGGGAAGTCCGATAACTCTCGGGGCATCGGGAATTAATGATGTTGAGAGGTGACATTTAGAACTGTAGAGGTCTTTACTTTGGACCAGACACAATAAGCGCACATAGATAGATAAACATTGTGTGTGAGTGTGTGTGTGTGTGTGTGTGTGTGTGTGTGTGTTTGTGTGTGTGTGTTTGTGTGTGAGAGAGAGAGTGAGAAGGTGAAAGAGTGAGTGAGTGAGTGAGTGAGTGAGTGAGTGAGTGAGTGAGTGAGTGAGTGAGTGAGTGAGTGAGTGAGTGAGTGAGTGAGTGAGTGAGTGAGTGAGTGAGTGAGTGAGTGAGTGAGTGAGTGAGTGAGTGAGTGAGTGAGTGAGTGAGTGAGTGAGTGAGTGAGTCAGTGAGTGAGTCAGTGAGTGAGTGAGTGAGTGAGTGAGTCAGTGAGTGAGTGAGTGAGTGAGTGAAAAAGAGTGAAAGTAAACGAGTGAGTGAGGGTGTGGGTGAATGAAATTTAAAGGTAAGATGATCATCCAATTTGGCTGTTGTTGTTTTGTTTTTTCCATATGGAGGCTTTCGACCACTGACAAGTTAACATAAGGGACCCATCTCTGTTAGAACTAAGCAAGCTCCAGTGGATCAAGTGATGAGGAAAACACGCTGGCTTTGGATAGGACTCACATTGAGAAAACCAGAGAAAAGCATAACTAGAATGTCTTTGCACTGGTACCCACAAAACACACACGCAGAAGAGAGCTGGAGAATGAAGTTAGAAATATGGGGATGGTCTCGGGAAGGGCTGCTTGCGATAGTGAAGGATAGAACGACTTAGCGTGAGTTGGTTGAGAACCTATGCTCTATTGGGTGCTAGAAAGGCAGAAGAAGAGTTTCTCTGAGGTTTTTTGTCAATATTTGTCTTGGTCTACCTCTGGTCTTCGTCCAACTCCTCTTTTGGCGTATGCTTTGTATTGTAGTCATCGTCTGCGGCTTACGCGCTGAGAACGCGCTTTGTAATGTTGGGGTGCCGGGTTCGATCCCTGCTGCGGAAGATTTGTCTTACGTTGGTTTCGACAGTGTTACCGGGAGCTCACCGTTAAGAAAATAGTGGCAAACTACAATACGTAAAATTTGTCTGCAAAACCTACACCAGCCAGAAAATGCCGGGGTTGGTTCTGCAACGCCATGTAAAGGATACGTAACTAACGTTTAACTTGTATGGTATGGCGTCACAAGACATTCTCACTACATGGGCAAACCATTTTAAAAAGGCGCTGAATATCAACAAATATAATAATGTATCATAAAAAAATATATACAAATAAAATGTTAACATGAGAACTTTCATATATGGTCGAGAGGAGGTTGGGGGGAGTCGCTCAGTGTGCATGCCAGGTTCCGGCGTCCCTGACGAAGACACCCCCCCCCCCCCCCCCCACCCTCCCTGATTTCAACATGAAGACATTCACAAGCGACCCCATCCCGTATAGCAGCACAGATTCCGAAAACACTGAAGATTAATGCCTATTCGACACCCAGACTCTCTTAAAAGACACAGCGCCAGATTGACCTGAATGTACTGACGTATATAAATCATACATGTTCTAACTGACCGCACCTCTATATAATGTAATTTATACCTTTCTGGTCTACATTTCTATAAACTTCTCCAGAGTCGCCGTCTAGCCCTTTCAATAGGTATAGTTTGTTTTCAGACATACGTATAATTTATCGGTACAGACACGTTCCCAAAGTGCCTCAATTTTGTTATGAAATTCAATTAATCAACCCAATAGTCCTGGTTGCTTTTTGGTCATTGAGTCCATAACTTTTCATGTCATCGTTAAGTATTCTTCTCTTCCTGTAAGTTACATGACAGAATTTGATCGGGTGTAAGACGCGGACCGCTTCGAATGTTTGAAACTAGGGTTGGTATGGGACAGATCGTATGATTGTAGAGAAGGTTTCATGTCTGTACTTTGATGAATGAGACGTGAACCGGAGTTCTGATTTCTGATCTAAAAATCGATAGCACAGTACATCGGGCATACCAATAGATGCTCCGTCTCCCTCAGAAAATGTCCTAAGGGAAAGATGCTAACTGTTCCCGTGGGACACTGATTATACACACGTCGTTCTCCTTATCTCACTCGTCCCTCCTTGACCACACTTAATTCCTTGTTCACACATTCTTGCACATGTTACTTCATTCAATCTCTTGTCTTCTCTCAACAGTCGTTCATGTATGTTCTTCAGAATATCTGCCTTGTCCAGTTAGAGTGTTTCCGAAGCTTTCGCTTTGTAGCCAGAAAATCCGCTCTTTTATTCCCTCACACTCCTGCATATCCTGGACAGTATATTCACATGATTTCCTGCAATGTTGGCGTGCTGATGCTTGGTACTCACTCATGCCACATGAGTCCATTTTGAACCTTCCGCAATGCCGACCGATAATCAGACAAATAATTCCTCTGGTAACTTTGTTTTCGTATGCGTATCATTACATGAATGTAACATGCTTTATTTATGAAATACAACTGCTGTGTGAAAGATGGAAGTTTGGAAGGGCCGTATGTAAGACAGGCCTGCGTGCCTAATTTGTAACCCTTTGAAAATAAAGTTCGTTCGTTCGTTCGTTCGTTTTCTGCCATACAGTTCAGAGCCGCAGTGATTGCCTCTAGTTCCATTCTCATGCTTGAAGCTGTAGATAAAAGAAGTGTTGAGTAAATACTATTAGACCTGTGTTCAACATTTAACACTTTTTATTATGCAGGTTTTGTCCGAATCGAGAACATCCAGAAAGATGAGGTCGTGGTGGACGGCGGCAGAGCTATGTTCCTGTGTCACGTAACTCCACCACAAGCACATCACCTCGGCAAAGACCTACCCGTGGCTGTACACTGGACGTTCGCTGGACGTCGCTTAGAGATTGACCCTCACATCGACGGCGAGGGCCACTACATTTCCAAGTCCAGCGATAACCGTCATGTGCTGGTCATCACCAAAGCCCGAGCGGAAGACGAGGGCGAATATGCGTGCGTGGCCACGATAGGGAATCAAACGGACAGAGCTTACAGAAAACTAATTGTGCAACGTAAGTTTTGTTAGTGTTCTTCCAGCTTCATTGTGTCAACATAGCTCAGACCATATATGTTCAATTGTCACCCTTTGAACAACTGTAATGCATTATTTTAACATTATATATTGTGATATCAACTTTTCATCATGTTTTAGCTTTGGAAGCCGCCATGGAACGGCCAGAGACAAGCTTGCGGATTCTAAGGCCATGGGTTCAAATAGGAACGTAGTGCTTAAACAAAAAAAATGACACAGTCTGAAATGGGTGCCAGGTACAATCCTGAGAAGTAAAGGCGGCCAGTGTGTTAAGCAACTTTCCCGCCTAGGGCATTTTGTTACTTATATCCTGTTCCCATCTTTGTGCTGGTCAGCCCCTGCTTTTCTTTTATGGTACCATCTCTTTTGCACCCCCCACCCCCAATTCGACTTGGCGCTTGATGTGGAGAACTATTTCAGTTTCCGAGATAAGATGCTGTTTACCTGCCAATCTTCTTTGATGCTGAGATCTTTTAGGATGTCAGTATTTCCTTGTGTGTGTGCGTGTGTGTGTGTGTGCATGTGCATATATATATATATATATATATCTCCATGGCATTCTGGGAGCCTTCCTAAAGCACTTCAGCTCCAAATACCATATTGTCTTCCTTAAAGAAATCCTTATTTTAGTGGGATAATTAATTATAACTCTGAGAGCTGATGGAGTTCAGTGTACCGGCCCAAGGTTCTGTGTTAAAATCCGTATGCAAGTTGGTCTTTTATTTTTGACCTTAGTTTCATCCGGCCTAAAAGGGGCATCAGGAAAAGTTTGAATGTTAGGACAAGTAGCGTTATATACGCCATATCGTCCATACAATTTAATTTATTTACAAATAAACCAGATTTTGAAATATATGTGTCTGAAAAACTTAAGTTCTGGAACACGACAAAAGTCAGAAGCGGCCGAACAACCAGAATTTTTTCACCGGGGAACGCTGAGAGGAAGAAGAAATGTCTGATCAACCAGTACCTTGAAAATGACCTTTTGCCTTATTAAGTTCAAAATATATTTTCATTTATTCATTTATTGGCCCCGCTCTCTGGCGTAGTTGGCTAAACCGTACTGCGCGGTGACCGGGTGACGAACTTCTTGTGGTCCGGGTTTACCCCCTGGGGTTGCAGAAAAGCCTCATTTCTCCCAGACTTATGGTGTTTACCATGGAATCAAGGCCGAAAGGTTGTGATATCCATAATACCGAGCCTAAGGGTTAACAACTCATAGCTTCTGGATACTTTAAAAAAATGCATTTATTCATTCATTCATTCATTATGCTGTTGTGCCATTATGTATCACATAGGGCTCGCAGTCTTTTCCTTAATTCCGCTCTTCTTCTTCTTCTGCCTTTCTATCCCCCAATGGAGCATAGGCCCTCAACCAACCCACGCCAAGTCGTTCTATCCCCGCCATTACATGCAGCTCTCCCCATGTCCTCCCCATCTTTCTAACTTCATTCTCCAGCTCTCTTCTCCATGGGTTTTTTTTTTTGTTTTTTTTCCTTCCTTTATTCCTATGCCTCTGTGGGTTCCAATGCAAAGAAATTCTAATTATGCTGTTCTCCCATTTTCTCAGTGTGTGGCCTATCCAACGCCAGCGTCTTTTCCTTACTTCTTGGTCCACTGGAGCTTGCTTATTGCAATTCCGCTCTATCCTGTACAATCAGTTTAGTATCATGGATGAAATCCAGTCCAGCAGCTTTGGTCTCTCTCATCAACGTTCCTCTTTGGATTTCCATTGGGCTTCCTCGCCTACCTAATCCCTTCTTTTATTTCTTCACTCCTTTTGAATTAAATGGCGTTGGCGGCTAGACCCCGCTTGTGGATCGAAAGGTCGTGGGTTCGCGTCCTGATAGAGCCGGACTTTTTTTTTAGTGATATTGACTCCCAGATCGACCCAGCCTTGGGTGGGTATCAGGTGTAGTCCTGGGAAGTAAAGACGGCGGGCGTGATGCTGACTACATTTCCCCCCCCCCCCCCCAAAAAAAAAGTGTGATTGGTCTATAAAGATAGAGGGTAAGCCTTATATTCCCAATACGTCCAAAGGCAATTTAAAGGGACCATTATAACATTCAGATAGAACAATGATCATGTAAAATTCATTAAACTCATCCTCTCCTTGTCAACTTCTTTCGCCACAGGACCTCCAGAACCACCCGTGGATGTCCGGGTTAAGAGCTGCCACGGCAACACGGCAGAAATTTCTTGGATGCACGGCAAATCCAACGGCGCAGAAATTCTCGGATACACAGTTCAGTTCAATCTCTTGGAAAAACCGGAGGCTTGGTACGATTCCTACGAGGAAAGTCCGGGGGACAGTACCCAGGCCTTCGTATCTCTAGCTCCATATGGCACGTATTCTTTCCGTGTCCGAGCCAGGAATGCCGTAGGGTGTAGTCGGCCCAGTTCGGTCACCAGTAGGGAGTGTACCACTCCCCCGGACAGGCCGGACAGAAACCCGGGCAAAGTCAAGTCCCTGACGGATAAAAAAGGATTTCTTGTGATAGAATGGGAGGTAAGGGGTGACGCTGTCGTGGATTATGTTGTTGTTGTTGATATCCTCCTCTTTGTTTCTGTTCTTTTCTTCCTCTTTCTCCTCCTCCTTCTCTTCTTCTTCTTCTTCTTCTTCTTTTTCTTCTTCTTCTTTTTCTTCTTCTTCTTCTTCTTCTTCTTCTTCTTCTTCTTCTTCTTCTTCTTCTTCTTCTTCTTCTTCTTCTTCTGTTCTTTTCCTCTCTTCTTCTTATTCTTCTTCTTCTTCCTTTTCTTCTTCTTCTTCTTCTTCTTCTTCTTCTTCTTCTTCTTCTTCTTCTTCTTCTTCTTCTTCTTCTTCTTCTTCTTCTTCTTCTTCTTCTTCTTCTTCTTCTTCTTCTTCTTCTGATGCTGCTGCTTCAACGAAGTATTGATAGAGATAAAAGGATCATCTGTGATCTTTCAAATGCTCTGTGTAAATTGATTCAATGGCAGTGGTGAGGGGAAGGGAAGGGAAACTGCAACTCCAAATCACTGGAGTAATAACAAACACAATAAGACGCACTGCAGACACTCGAGTAATATAATCTCTAACATCTTCAATAGCAACCCCGCTTGATTGTTACCTAGGGAAATTGACTTCAAAGCTTATAAACAGACGAAAATAGCGGCGCTTTTGTAAAGATAACCCCGGCCGGAAATTACTGCATCAGATATCGATGCAAGTGTTTAAAAACTCCATGACTTTATCGATTATCAATATTGCACAATGTGCATAGTGTTTTTTCTTCGGTTACTACAGGCGTTGAAATTGTCAGTGTGGTATCGAAGAACGACATTTGGAAATAGGTAATTGTAGCCCGGTTTTAGAAGAAGATTGGCGGTGCAAGTTCACAATTGTTACCCGTTTTAAATGTCTAGAGTGTTGGATGTATATAAAATACTATAATTTAGATTACTTATTTTCACCTCGTGTGTTTTCCCCTCTGTTTCTTGGTACACTCCAGGGGAAACAAATTCTGTGATAGGGAGAGCGATTTTGTGGAGTGTATAATTTTTTCCCTCTGTTGTTTGCGTTGCTAGTGTTATTTTTAAATAGGTTAATATATTAAAACGGGTTATATTGGTACATATAAGTGAGTTGTGTGGAATTTGTGATGCCCTGCAGGCACTCAGAGAGGGGAGGTAATGTGTAACTATTAGTTGAAGCTCGTATGGCGGTTATGGATATCACGCGACTCCCCCCCCCCCCCACACACACACACACACAAACACACACACACACAAGGCATCATGTCAACACGCGTGGTCATTACAAAGGCAGATAACGAATATTACGGAGCATCTTTGACAGCGAATAGGGCCAAAATATGACCCTTTGATGCCATAACGCCTTCTCCAGATTAAAAGGTGAAGGTGCTGACGTCATCAGCTTGAAGTGACGTCACCACCCTGGGCTAACAATACGTTCCGTGTTTACTCTGACAGTCTGGTGATCCCCACATAAATTATGGGATAAGCTCCAGAATAGAGTGTGTGTTTAGGTATAGACACATACAAACTCAAATGGAACGCTAGAGAAAAAACTTTCAATATTAATTAATCAGTATGGCTTTTACCGTTTATAGGCTTATATTATCTACATAATCTCATCTTCTTGGAGAAAAAAGTGGGGGGGGGGGGGGGAACTGACTTGCTACATTGTATCCAAATAATCCATTGAAATTGTGTGAGTTAACTTAACCAGCATATTCTTTTGTCCACCCAGTATATTTGCAATATTATTCTTGTCCATACAGAATATTAGCACTGTTCTTCTTGTCCACCCAGTATATTAGCAGTATCATCCTTGTCCACCCAGTATATTAGCAGTATCATCCTTGTCCACCCAGTATATTAGCAGTATCATCCTTGTCCACCCAGTATATTAGCAGTATCACCCTTGCCCACCCAGTATATTAGCAGTATTTTTCTTGTCCACCCAGTATATTAGCAGTATCACCCTTGTCCACCCAGTATATTAGCAGTATCATCCTTGTCCACCCAGTATATTAGCAGTATCATCCTTGTCCACCCAGTATATTAGCAATATTATCCTTATCTGCCCAGTATTTTATCAATATTCTTCTTGTCCACCTTGTATTGTATTGTATCAGCAATAGTTGCCTTGTCTATCCAGTGTATTAGCAATAGTTGCCTTGTCTATCCAGTGTATTAGCAATAGTTGCCTTGTCTATCCAGTGTATTAGCAATAGTTGCCTTGTCTATCCAGTGTATTAGCAATAGTTGCCTTGTCCATCCAGTATATTAGCAATAGTTGCCTTGTCCATCCAGTATATTAGCAATATTCATCCTTGTCCACTCAGTATATTCGCAATATTATACAGCAGTATGAACTCCTTGGTAAGACGGTGTGCGCATGCCTCTACGACAGCCATTCTCCCTCTCCCTCTCCCTCTTCTTCTTCTTCAGCATTTGAAGCACTTGAGGTTTATTGCTGCAGATATCACCCTCCTCCATTCATGTCTCTGGTTGGCCTTCTCTTATTATAAGATTATAAATGTCATTGTTGCTTCTCACTCTCCATTCCTCACTGGTTGCATCTTTGATAATACGTAGTTCAAAATTTAAACACTACAAAAATCATAAAATAAAACTGTGTTTATCGAGGTTAAACAAGACTTACAGTATAATTGAAAATAATTTCTATTTTTATATACTCCCATATTATGATTGAAGTTTTCTGCAACCCATTTTTTCCCTTTAATTGCTATGTCTTTGATTAGATCCTCAAATCTAATCTTGAAACACACAGAATCACTTAACTGAGTTTCCAGAAGCAGCCACGTTGTTGTCTTGTCAGTGGAATCCAGTGGCATTTTAGCAGAAAGGAGGGGCGGGGGCCGAAGAACACGAAGATGGGCACAGGATATAAGTGACTTCTTGAACATGAAAGTAGACGAGGCGAGAGAGATGACGAGAGACCGAGTTTCTTTCAGGTAGCCGTGATGAGAGCGACGTTCTGCGAAGTACATGATGCTGATGATGATACAACCCTGTATTATTAACAACTTTTTCTAGACCCATTCCCTCAATAAATACTTCAGTAAAGTTTGGGAACCGTTCATTTACCCGACTGTTGACTGTTCTATCAGTACAACCCCATCACACTTCCTGCATGCGTGCACAGGTGCGTACACTCTAACACACACACACACACACACACAAACACGTGCACACACGCACTCCATGCGAGTTCAACTTCTTAGTAAATTCCATACAGTTGAAATGCACATGCAAGAAGATAATCTGAATAACTTAATACTATTATTGTCCCATTGTTAAGGGCAAGGCGTCAGCGAAGCTCTCTTAAATTCTTTGAAGCGGAATATAGCATAACTTTTATAACACTGAGTTGTCTGAGCTGGGTTTTTCTAAGATCAGCTTTTGTTACCCAGCGGTCTTTTCGTCCAGATGCATTAAACGGCATCAGGTTTCTGGCACTTGTGGGCCACTTTTAGGATGTGTTCAAGTTACACAAAGAACATTAAAAAAAAAAAAACCATCTTTATCTTGTGATTAAAAAAACTCACAAAATTTTTAATTTTTAATTCAAAGAACATAGTGGGTCTCTGAATGTAAATAGGTTCAAAGAACGTCACAACGTTCATTCAGAAATCATCAATGTCTTTGATTTATAGACTGTCGCGATTTTTGTTTAATTTTAAGACTATTTCAAAGACCACAAGAGACGTTCTCATTGATAGGATCAGAGTTTTGAACTTAAGAAGATAAAACAAGCAGAATTGTTAACTGTTAACATTAAAGTCACACTGTGTGGGTTCCTAACCTAGTTATGGGGCAGACAAGAATAGACACACTACCCCCTAGCAAGCATATTGTAAAAGCCGACTAACTGTACATAGGGTCCCCCCCCCCCCCCCCCCCCCCAAAGAGGAGCGGCTGGTCGAATGGTTAAGAATCATGGACTCTCCTGCCGTAGACCGGGTTGGAATCCTTAGTAAGGTTGTGGATATGTTCAATGTCGGGAGTGCGGTGTAGGGGAGGGGGGGGATATAAAATCCTAGCCTATACTGTAGTAGCGACAATACTAGCTATGCGGCCCTAAATTCTTAGGCCCAAAGACCCCCCACCTCCTCCCGACTACACCACAAAAGTGGTACAGGCAGTAACGGAGGTTTCCTTCCATGTGGCGGTGCCTCTGTCGGATAGGGGAAGATCCAACAGTCTGCAACAAACAAATCAGGTCTATAAAACAGATGTGTAGGCAAAACTCGTGCTCTAAAGAAAGACTAAAGTCTTGAAGTGGACGAACAACCAGAACTTTCCGCCGGCGTGTACACCCGGTAAATGTGAAGACGACGAAGGCAAACAAATTCAGGGAGTAGAAAAGTTCACGATTTCTTGGCGCTGTTTACTGACTTAGTGGCTCCTTTTCTATCTGGTGATGTAGAGGGTCGCCATTCTGTCAGGGGATGTAGCGGTTTGCCATTCTATTTGGGGGTGTAGAGGGTCGCCATTCTATTTTGGGATGAGAAGGTTTGCCATTCTATCAGGGGATGTAGAGGTTCGCCATTCTATCTGGGGATGTAGAGGGTCGCCATTCTATCAGGGGATGTAGAGGTTTGCCATTCTATTTGGGGATGTAGAGGGTCGCCATTCTATTTGGGGGTGTGAAGGTTTGCCATTCTATCAGGGGATGTAGAGGTTCGCCTTTCTATCTGGGGATGTAGAGGTTCGCCATTCTATCTGGGGATGTATAGGGTCGTCATTCTATCTGGGGATGTAGAGGGTCGCCATTCTATCTGGGGGTGTAGAGGTTTGCCATTCTATCTGGGGGTGTAGAGGTTTGCCATTCTGTCTAGGGGTGTAGAGGTTTGTCAATCTATCTGGGGGTGTAGAGGTTTGTCATTCTATCTGGGGATGTAGAGGTTTGCCATTCTATCTAGGAGTGTAGAGGTTCGCCATTCTATCTGGGGATGTAGAGGTTCGCCATTCTATCTGGGGATGTAGAGATTCGCCATT